GTGGTTTGTCTTTTATGAATCCATGTGTTCATTCACAGGAGGGGATGAATCCACATAATGATGCAGCCACTCCCTGCCTTCTTTTGAACTAATTATTTTTTCAGCACACATTTTTGAGCTGCTTTGGCTTGACAGCATGACACCAGCAAGAGATAAGAGGGGAAAGCATTTCCCAGCAGGGTAAAACACTTTGCAGATATATCGGTTAGAGATCACTATCAACCATTTTTAAGTCGTCTTATTGGTAAAGTTGCCCTAAACACAGACTTTTGGCACATTTTTAATTTGTCATGTTTTAGATGAAAGCCCAACGGTTCCTGTCACAATCCAGTGTTTTGTTTCCATCTGCAGTTACCATCAAGCACTCGCTGCAAAATATCTATAAGCCATTAGCTTTCCCAGTGAAGAAACTCTGTGACTAACACAAGATCATGATTACATCCCTGCTCTTTTCTCTGCTCCCACACTCCCTTTAAGCTCTGCCAACCTCTCTCTCTTTCTTCATTTTGTCTTTCGAGCTGCAGATAAGATACAGAAATCATTTCAAATGTCTGGTCCGCAGAATATACATACTGATGGACGGGGACCACTTATCACCCGATTAAAGTTCCAGTGATTAATTATGCTAACAATATTGAAGCTGTTGCATTTAGAGAAGGGGTTTATAGTGATGATAGAGGGAAGAGGTATTTCCTTTATGAGGAGCTGATCTCGGCCAATGACAGTCACAATCTTATCGCGTCTGTTTGTGAAGCCGCATGAACAGGAGACACCATCAGTAATTCCACATGCATCCAAATACAATTTAGAGCGTGTGACAGATTTGAGGAGTTGCTTAATGAGTCAAGTGGCAGTGGCAAAAGAATATATGCATTATAAATGCTGCTGCTAATGATGTCAGAGGAAGAAAAAATAGTTCTGTCACATTTAATTTCTCTTTTTGCAAAAGTGGATCTCACATCGTCGTCTTAGCTTCTCACACAGTGACAGTGTGGGTGGTTTCCTTTCCTGCCTCAGAGTAATATTTGCTAGTATCTGTGTCTCTCAGATAGTTATGGTCTCTGGTGGAGCAATTTAAAATATTATCATCCCACAGCATCAAAATGTGCAATTCTGTCACACATTTGACGTTGGGGCCTTGATGCAGTGGCAAGGTTTTGAGAAAAAAAGCAACGTTGGCTTTTTACATCAGCATTCACTCCGGTTAGCTTATGGGTAGGGTTGGGAACCCTGATGCTTATCTAATGAATCAGAGGGTCCTTTAAGGTCATGTTCAAATGGCTTCCAGTCTGGCTGTTTTTTAGTGGCTCACTGGAAGTCCCATTTTGTCAAATTGCACAGGTGCCTCTGCGATGTCCACTGGATCTCTGCCAGTGTGTCAGCACAGCAATCATTCAACACCTTTTTCACTTTGTGAAAGTGCATAAAGTTGCAAACCATCAGAAAAAATAAAATCCCTGTTTTGTGCGTGCAGAATGACAGCACTGTGGGTTGATGGCAGAAACCAGAGTTCAAATCTTTTACCCCACATGTGCTTTCTCAGGCATCGGATAGCATTTGGAGTAATTCACAGTGGAAAACTCTGAATGTGGGAATAAACAGGACACGTATGCTGCTGATTGCATTTCTG